TTATGGAAAATAATAAAATTAAGAAAAAAAACATGCACAATTTTATTTATAATGAAATCATTTGCTTTAAACTTTCAATGTAATTGCTAAAAACAGAAAAGAAACCATGGTTAAACAGTCTGATCGCTTTCTTCAATAAAAGCAATCGAATTGTTTTAGACGGTTTCTTTGGAAGTTTTTGCAAAAGCATTTATTTTATGTAAAATTATGCATACTTTTGTGAGCGCATGCAAAAACCATGCTAAAACATAATAACTTTCTATTTATTTTACTTAAAAGTGACGCTATTGAAAAAAGTAATTATGTTTTGGCATTTTTTAAAAAAAGTCTCTGTAATTAATTGTTTTTTATTTTAAATAAGTGTTTTTTGTAATAAATAACTAATGATCGCAAAATTATTTTGAAAAAATGCGTTCGTTTTGAAAAATCTTAATCAAACGGCAATGTTTGTATAAGCGAAATTAAAGCAAAATTATTCTTTAAATATTTTACTTTTTTAGGTTAATTTTTGTTATATATATTATTTTGTGGATTTTATTCTTTTTTAATTTGCTTTAATTTGCTTTGTTTTTTTTAGCAAATTTTTTTAAATGGATTTTATTTTCTTTTAATTTATTTTAATTTGCTTTGTTTTTTTTAGCGCAATTTTTTAAATGCGCTAATTATCAAAACTTGCAATGAGCCGTGGTCAACTTGTTCAAATAAAGAACTATATCTGTGGTTATATAAGGTGTGCGATCGCACGCCTCTTACGAGAAGGCCTGATGTAGGTAATAATAAAAGAGAAGAAAAACAAAAATTAAGGATAATTATTATAGTAATAGAAAAAATTATAACAAAATATTTTTCAGAATTTTTTAAAACTGATTTTGATTAAGATTAAGAAAAGATGACGAAGGAGGTTGGAGTTGGAGCTTATTGAACTCATTCACAATGCACACAAGGCTCTTGTTCCATTCACAGATGCACTGATACACAACAGAATTTTTACCATACTTTTGAGTTTTATATGATAGTACAATAAGTTTTCCATTATTTATATTTCGCGTAGAGTGTGTATGAATTAGTCTACTTTCTATAAAAAAAAAAATTTGCGATAGAAGGTAAATTTTTATTTAGAAAGTTAAAAACAAAAAGAAAGTTTTTTTAAAAGAATCTGATGTATCTGATTTGAAAGGTTGAAAGTTTATTCTAATGGATTGGCATTGAGATGACATTAGTTTGTTAATATGATAGTTGCCAGTTTGACCCCAAACTTGACAACAATAACTTAGATGAGATGAAAACAATGCATAGTAAATATTTAAAAGAGTAACTTTATCGACATAATGTCGAATTACTGAAAGCATACTATTTGCACGATTAAGTTTCTTGCGCAGCTCATCGATATGGAAGTTCCACGAAAGATTGCAATCAATTAACACACCAAGATATTTAATAACTCTCGAGGGATATAGTTGTTTATTATTTATTTTGATTTTAATTTCAATGTTGTTACAGTTTTTTCTGTTGTTGTTACAATTTTTTCTAGGAGATGAATAAAAAATTACTTCAGTCTTTTCGGTGTTAAGACAGGTTGATTAGGTTGATTAGGTTGGCATTCAACCAATGAACTATACCTTTAAGATCTAAATTTATATTTTTACATAAAGAATAGTATGATTTGTTTACATGTAAATGTAAGTTAAAAACAAAAGAGGACCAAGAACAGAACCTTGAGGAACACCACATGTAACACGTTTGTTACTAGAAGTATAACCATTAATACTTACATATTGTTTAACATATTGTATAAACCAATCACTTACAACTCCAAGAAGATGATGATCAGATGGATGTGTGGTATGACTATAACAAGACAATAAAAAAAGCCAAAAATCTTGGACAGAGATTGAAAAAAACATATCAAACAACATTTGTCAGAGAAGATTAAAGTGGTTTGGGTATCGACATGCAGAGATAGCAGCTTCAGGAGAAAATGGTAATGGTAGAAATAAACTTGGAAAGAGGAGATTATATATGGCATGGAGAAGCTTTAGTTAAAGAAATAAAATTTTCTAGATTTTTGATATTGTAATATATTTCTCTAGAAACAGCATAAAAGGGGAAGGCTAATGGTTAATGATAATTATGATGATGATAACAATAATTATGATGATAATATTCATCATAATGACTTTTATATATGCTTATATATTATATATTTAAATATCAAATAACACGAACTTCGAATTCAAAAAAATTGACATTAGGATGTATCAATGTTTATGCAACCCTGGTCACAAACCCAGCTCCAGCTATTTTATATCAAATATGGCCTTAGCTCCACTCAATATGGTCACTTACTAATAAATGGTCAACAAATTAAATTATGTTAAAATCACCAATAATAATTAATTTACTATTGTCGCTAGACTCTTCAACAACAATTGTGTAAGAAGTGAAAATTATTTTTTAGTTTCTTGGAAAGTTTCAGCTTTTCTATCATTGTGAGGCATATAAACTACAATAACACATATTTACTTCATAATTACTTGTAGTTAATCATTTGGTAACAAAATCAATTTCAATAACTTTGTTAATCAATAAACCACAAAATACTTCTGTGAAGTCTCCAGGCTGTTTAGTTCTCTTCCATTGAAGAATTAAGATAAAAATATATTTTTTAAAAAACTCTGCTTAAAAAATCTTGGTAAACCTGCAGTTAAGCAGCGTAAAATAAATATATTATTTTGTTTTTTGCGCTCTTGTTCACTGGGACTAAAAAACAAGAGATAAAAAAATGAATTTTAATGTTTGACTTATTACATTAATTAAATGAAGACTTTAATTCAAATTTTTTTTTTGTGAAAAGAAATATATTTAACTATATTTTCATTTTAAAATCTTAACTTATTTTATAAAAACATATATAATAACATAAACATAATATATTTATAAATTTATCAGTTATAGAGGATATCGACGAGAGATGCAAGTAAGAAATACTGAGAATATTGGGAATTCTTTACACCCTTATCACCAAATAAACTCATGAAGATGAGATGTAAATAAATTTTTGTAAGTTTAAAACTGTTGTCGCAATTTACACTTGGCACGCATCCATAAATTCTCAATGTTTTGAGTATGGATTTCGTTGATACCTAAAACTGTAGAATTTGTTTCAGGATCAACTTGGCATGAATTGCAACAAAAGTTTGCCCAATCAGCTAAAACATGACTAGCATCGTTCGGACTAGCTTCATGCTAGATTTCTTTTAGGGGCATATCTCAACTCCATCCAGAAATATAATGAATTATCTTTTGAAGTGGTAATCTACTTTGGCTGAAAAAAGATCCTTGGCTAACACTTTGTTGTTGTCTACATATTGTCGAAAACAGGCTATTCTAGACTGTTTTCCACAATATCAACTGTGGAAAACAGTCTAGAATATTTAGGTGTCAATTTGGGTGCCGCCCAAATAAAAATTTGAGAACCTTTTTTTTTCTTTTTAATTAAATTTTTTACAACAAATATTTAGCACTTAGTGGTTCTCTTATGTTGTGGCTAAGCTCTGTTAAATCCCAATTTACATGTAAGACAAACTGTTTATGGAGGATATCATCGACTCGAACTATAGCCGCAGAGGCACTTGGACATCGACAACCAACTTATTGCATAGCCATCACCCATAAATACAAAACTTTAACACACTTAATAATTTCAACTCCCAAAAAAACTTTAAAATCAAATTTAAAACTGGAAAAATTATTTTAAAAAAATCCTCAAAATAAATTAATTAAAAAATCTATTAATTAATTTTAAATTTATTTTTTAATTGTGTAAAGTAGGTATATGTAACATTCTCACCACCGTTGATTTTTTGAAATATAAAACATAATTTTATTTTACGCCACTTAACTGCAGATTTACCAACATCTTTGCTTTTCTATTTTTATATTTTTCTTTAAAATTGATCTCTCATACAAACTAAAAAATTAATGACAACATGCACTGAAACACATAGAAATAAAATGCGCTTTAATAAATTATCAAGTCTGTAGATTGCGGCATATAATATGGCGACTTTTTGGCCTACAACAAAATAGAGAAGGTAAGCAACAACAAAACAGACAAAGCAAACTAAAATAAAAAAGTTAGTTTTTCTTGGTTTGCATTTATTCCTTTGTTTTAATCAAAAAAATTTAGCTTAAACATTTTTTTTTTATTATTCTCTTTAATATGAACACGCGTCTTGGAGGTTTGGGATCCCTTTAAACCTCTTGTAAGAAAATAAGTTCATTTTTGTCCATTAACTTCTCAATGTATAATCGCCTTTTATTTAACATGATGCATTTTTCGTTTCATTTCTTTTTTATGTAGATGAAGTGGGAGATATAAAAAGAAGTATGAAATTTTAAAGAGTATGAAATTTGATTAAAGTATCTTATAGTAGAAATATAATTTAATCAACTAAGCTGGCATTATTGATATAATGACAATCAATCTATTATCTTATTTTCTTTCAGCTCAGAGTCCTGGAAGAATCATAAAAAGTCAAGATTGTCTGAGCATTTCATAAGCAACCAAGCTCATATAACTTTCTTCTTACCAAAAGTTTAACAAGTGTAAAAACCCTTTTTAATTGGTCATTAGGTACATAAATTACCAAGTAATGCTGGTAAATAAAAGTATGTCTTCAGTCATATGTAAGGTTGCCAGATGTCCGGCTTTTATGAAAAACACAGAAAAAATCTTAATTCTTATAGCTTCGGCACTGCATTCTCCTACATAAAAGCTGGAGATCTGACAATTCTATTCGTATGCATCGTCATATTGTAGTTTCTCTTTAGTCATATTTATGTCTATTTTTATCAAACCTTTAATCTAAGCTATGCTTAGTTAATTGGAATCCAGTTTATAACTTCAAAAATTTTATTAAAAATATGCAAATACACAACAATAATATTAGAACAATTGAAATTTTTCCAATTTTTTTTATAAAAATAGAGCAACTCACCCGGTGCCATTATCAATTACGCAAGCTGGTTGTCGCATAGCCATTTTTTATTCGTGAGGGAAAGATACTACTATATTGTGACAACTAACAACTTTTATTTATTAAAGATCCATATAAATTTAATATTTACGTTCCTCCAGGATTTAGCATACCGACGGCATAAATGGCGAGCTATTAGGGCGATAACAACAAAAAATGACGAAATATTATTGGCTAAGTATTTTCGGCTCCAGATTCCAAAACAAGAAGCACGCAATACGATTTAATTTATATTTTATTTAAAAACTTTTTATTTATTTTTGTATTGCTATTTTTTTTTAAATAATTATTTAGGTGCTTAAAAAAAGTCCTTACGGTCTTATCATAGAGTACCGTGGAAGAGCATTTAACTAAAAAGTTTACGCCTCCTTCCCGAATGGCTCTTATTTGGTCAATTTATTTGGTCAATTGCATTTTAAAGGTTCTCGATGAAAAGACTTCTCTTAGTCTTCTGCGAGTTTCCTTACAACATCATAGCGTTATTATGATATATTAATATATTTTTTCAACGATAACCACAAGCAAGTCCCTAGTAGCCCTGTGGTGCGACGGACTTGCGTATATTTTTTAAATGCATGGGTTAATAGCCAGCACTTTATATTATAAACCACGATTTTTTACTTTTTATTTTTTTAATTTTGTTTTTTGTTTTTCTCTTAACATTTCTAACCCACTGTAATACGCCAAGTGTGAAACAGCATTGTTAACGCTCTTTAGATATTGCAAATATGTGTGGGGGACATTTATATAAACTGGAGTCATGTAAATATTTGTTCTTGAAATATATAATAACTGTTGTGAAAAAAAAAAAAAAAAAAAATTCCTTTATCGAGCCTCAGACCTAATGCCAGAATCACTAATCCCTATATTAATTGATCTCTATAAAATTATTCATTTTTCTTCATTTATATGCTAATATTTTTTATCAACATGGAAATAGGGCAAGATGGGTTTTTATATAACAACAAAAAATCTTAAAATTGAGTGAAAACGAAACTGAGTTTGCATTTTGTATTTTAAAACACCGTTTGGTTTTTTGAAATATTATTAGCGCAATTTTATACGCATAAGTTACTATTTGCACTTATATTTCCTCACTTTCGGTTTCTCATAATGGATCGTGTCCTTCAAGTTTAACTTCTTTAGAAGTAGTTTTTTTGATTTGTGTTTATTTTTTGTTACTTTAGTTAGAGTTATTGGTAATTTTTAAAATTTTTATAAAATAAGACCAGATGACAAAAACGGAAAATTCATGCAGACAATAAATTATTTTAATAACATAAACATACTCAGAAAGTATTATTACTTCACGACTGATAGTTTTTCAATAATTCAGGGCTTTCAAAACGTTCGCCATGTTGCCCCACCTCCCCCTAAACATATCTAGATAAACATAGCAATACCTACCTATAGAAAAATATGTTACAAGATTTTCATTAAACCGTTTTGTTATACCAAAATACCGTTCAAAACTAAGTTTTTTATTCTATTCAGAATCGCAGACCGTTTTTATTGAAAAATTTCCAAATATTGTTTCTAAAAAAAATTTCACCCGAATTGTTTAAGGTGGTAGTACCCCAAAAGACAGGCTAAAATTTTTTTTTTTTCAAAGCTTCAGTTTTTATAATTTTCATTAATTTATTATATCTTCTCTTAAAATAATAAAAAAAATTAAAAAAAAAAAAAATTCAAACGCCTAAATTATCCTTGATAGATTTGGTACTGGAAAATAAAGTGCCCTAGCAACGGCCCTTAGAGATATATTTCTTGCAATATCTTGAGAAATATATGTCCAATTTATGTAGTTTTTGTGTGTGCTTATGACTAAATTGTTCCTTAAGAACTCTTGTTGGTTTTCGATCTAATATCCATAAATTTAAACCTCATATTCGTTTCTGTAAGATATAGATAATTACTCTATAACAAATGTTTTTTCATTGATGGGTTGTTTTTGATAAGTTTCCTTCTAAATGCGTTCAAAAAAATAGATATGCTAAAGCAAGAGTAAAAAAAAGAAAACTTCATAAATAAAAAAAATATTGTCTAAATAATTCACATGCTTTACAACAAACTGTTTTGTCTGCACATTCACCAAACAATGTAAGTTAATCGGTATCTGGAAAAAAAAAACTTATCTAGATGTAGAAAACTTTATAATATAGAAAAAGAGTGTAATACAATTATAAACTTATATTTATTTTCAAATTTGTTGAAAGCAATTGAAAGATGCTCTAGAATGTTATTCGTCAATCAATATTGTACACAATATTAATCAAAAAGAGATTCTTTCTCATACTTCTTGTCAATATTTTACATGGACGATAAATTTTTTAACTTCAAAATGAATAGAAAATAAAAATGAAGTAATCAAAGGTAAAAAATGAGAGAAATTAACCTATGTACTGTGTTAAGTTTTCGAGATATTGGGCAAGGATACATAGCAATTATTACTTTTTGTTATTTAATGAATATGTCTTTTGGTATGATAAAACGTGGTTATCATAACATTAATAATAGACTTCCTGTTGCTTATTTTGAAGCCTCTAGAGTGAGTACAAACAGAACATACGTAATGAAAAACTTTTAAAATTGAAAATTATGATGAATCATCAACTGTCAATGTTGCTGTTATTTTAGATGGTTCATCATGATTCCATAGATGGTTCAGCACAGAAGAAACTTCTCAATAAATAGTATAGTCACAGCAATATCTCATGGAAATTGTATTGATGCTGTTGCTAAAACAAAAAATTGTTTTTCAAAACAAAAAGAGAGGTATTCCAGCTTACGAGAACTGGAAGATCACACATTAATCATAAGGTAGCTCAGGAAGTATGGAATTTTTAGGCGCTCTACAATTATTCAACTGATCTGTCAAAGAGCTTAAAATCGAGAACATGAAGTACATTGCTGATGGAGATACCAATTCTTATATGCAAGTTTGTGATGCAAATCCATACAAATAAGAAATTATTTATAAATAGTTCTTGGCAGTGATGCGTTGCTCAAGAAAGGTTTACATGGTTAAACTCAAAATGTTAATGAATTGCTAGATGAGATGGTTTGGACTCACGCACTTAAAAGAGTTCATGTGAAAAGAACAGTTAATGAGATTGCTTTGGCCTATACAATAATTAGCTTCATTAATGGAGTTCAGGGTTTACTACCAGCATTTAAATAATGTAATGTTTTGCCTGGATATTTTACTACTAAAAGTTCTCTAAATGTAGATTTTGTATGCATTAAACAGAATGAGATAAAAAGTACAGGTGCCACAAAAAACAGGAGGAAAAAGTTAGGGGCCATTAAAAAAGGCTTTATTGACTAACATAATGAAGCAGAAGATGTTGCATACAACAGTGGTGGTTTTTAGTAGGTTTAATTGTGTAAAAAAACTTTATGTGTTTTTAGTATTTTTTTAAATTGCATTTTTCTTGCGTTTAACTTTTTGTGTATCTTTTAATTTTTTAACAAAGATAACTTTTTAACCGCTCATTGAATTTTTTTCAAATTTTCAGCAATTATTCTTGAATGTATTTGTAATGTGCTGAACCAAAGAAAATTAACTTTTTTTTATATTAAAGTATTAAAATTTGAACTTTAGCAAGCTGTACTTATACTTTTTTCTTTTTATTGATAAAATATAATGATTTTAAAGTTATTAAATATTGTTGATTATATAATTTTTAATTCAGCACATTTTTTGAACATATATAAAACTACTTACAAAATTTAGTTTGTAGAACATGTATGGTTCTCAAGATATTCTTGTTAAAAAAAGGTCAATTTTTTTGCCTAAATTTTGCTAATTTATGCGCATAATTATTGAGCAGGAGGGTAAAAAAAAATAATTTTGTTATTTTTTGAAATAATTTAATCTAACATTTCAGAAAAACATAAATGTTCCCATATAATATCAAGTTTTAAATTTTTTTCCTCTTAAAGGGAACTACCACCTTAAAACTCAATCCAAAATTTGTTAAAACCAAAAACTATTAAAATTCATAAAACTTCGCGAAAAAAAAAAAAAAAAAAAAAAAACGAGTTTAATAAAAACTTTATAGAAAAAAATTCAATAACCATCCAGCGATTAATCAGACTCTTGCCTTTTTTTTTTTTTTTTTTTTTTTTTTTTTTTTTTATAATTTAGCCGTACAAATATTTACAAGTTCCGTAATTTAAAATATTTAAAAATGGCAAGGACGAGAAGAAGACGGGGTTGTCTTATCACCAAGTCCCTTGTTTGTCTAGACATTTATATAAATACATGGTAACTAAAATGAAAATTAAAAAATTAAGAAAAAAGCAAAATATTACAAAGAAGTTTATATAAAATGCAAAATAGTTTAATAGTTCAAAGTTTTGAAAGATATTTTTTCGATTTTATTTTTTGAAAGAAAAATTTAAAAGTTCATTCAGAAAAACAAAAATATCAAAAAACTAAAAAACATGAAAAAAGTAAACGTAAAATTTAATTTACAATCTGTTCTTATAAAGTGTAATATATTAATTCCTCAAAAACAAATTACAAAATATTAATATAAAAAATTAAAACTCAAAAAAGATTACTTTTTTTATTTTTCCTCTCTCTCTCTTATTTAAGAAAACTAATAAATTTAATTAAACTAATGAAATCTAAAAATGCTAAAAATCTTTATAAGTACTTTTTTTATAATATAACAGACTGTAATACCTATATAAAATTAAAGAATTTAGACCTTCCAGACAAATAAAGTATGTATTAGTAGATAGTTTTAAAATATAATATTTTTATAGATAGATTTAAAAATAATTATCTGTTTGTTCATTATTTAAAAGTAATAGTTTTAGTTTTTGTTTAAACTGATCAAGAGTTTTAAGTGTTTTAATATCATTACTGATTATCTTATTCCATGCATTAGGTCCTCTAACATTATTCTCATAGTGATATAACAGCATTATTTAAAACGGTCAACATTGAACTCCTAAACCTAACCGAATGGTTAAATATGAACAAACTTTTAGCAGAAATAGAACTTTTTCAATTGTTTAAATTTGTGCTTAAGTGGCAACATTATAATGTTTTGAGTTTTTGCTATAACTAAAAATAAGAAAAAAAAATTACTACAAAGAAGCAGAAATTCCTATAGTAACACAATTTAAATTAGCAAACTTTTATC